GGAGTAGGGACAAAGGAGCTGTCTAAGGCAGGTTGAGCTGGGCTGGGGGCTCTACAGTGAAATAGTACAATAAGAAATAACCGAAACAGCAATAAGCAAGGCTTATTGACATGGGAGAGAGGCATAAAGCAATCACAGGTGTTATTCGAGAGAGCTAAGACAACAGCTGGTAATGGCGACAAAGTTTGGGCTGAGGCTAAACATAAACAGGATGCGGTACTGTATAAAGGAACAGTCCAGCAGGCATCAGCTGTATAGCTGAGTTATCATAAGGTCCGGTGAACAGCAATAGGAGAGTTCGGAGGTAGTTCGGGGGCTGCTACAGCACTGGCGAGCAAGAGGCCCGGCTTGCGTGTGCTAGCGGGCCGGGGCTAGCAGATGGATCTTCATGGTCGACGTCGTAACGGGTAGCCTGTTGAAACCACATCAGACGATTTCGTTGGAAAACCAGTCGTGTTGGATCGGCGGGGCTCCGTGTCAACACTAGGAGGTCCCGTCCGGTTGACAGAGAGGTAGATAGCAGGGAGATGGGCCTGGCTTGAGGCTAGCTCAAGGCTAACTGGTGCTTGCTAAGGGGCAATGGTAATTAGCCAACAACAACAGCCATTTGGTTGCAGCTAGCTGGTTACGATGAACCGGCGCTAGGGTCCAGTGATTCTGGCAGAAAATCCGATATGCTCTGGGTCGATAGCACGCTGTGCAGACTGGCCGACAAATTGTCCAGGCTAGAGCTAGAGCTGGCTGGTGGGTAGTGCAGGCCACGGACAATGGTGAAGACGCTAACAGTGGCTAATAGCAAGTAGCTAGCTAGCTGGCTACCACAGCCATTTGGTTGCAGCTAGACTAGTTTCAGCTTAAGGTTCTTGATAAAAGTTATAAAGAAATAATAGAAACCTTTCCATGTTGGGTAAAGCGGGTTGCAGGAAATTATATTTAGTTAAAGAATGAAAAGTAAAATTGAGAAATATATACAAAATAGACAAAAAACTAAAAAACTGGCTATTTACACAAGGACACTACAGAAAACACGACCGCACTGCTACGCCATCTTGGAAATTCATAATCCTTGAGATGTTTCTACAACTTGATTGGAGTCCACCTGTGGTAAATTCAATTGATTGGACATGATTTGGAAAGGCACACACCTGTCTATATAAGGTCCCACAGTTGACAGTGCATGTCAGAGCAAAAACCAAGCCATGTGGTCGAAGGAATTGTCCGTAGAGCTCCGAGATAGGATTGTGTCCAGGCACAGATCTGGGGAAGGGTACCAAAAATGTCTGCAGCATTGAAGGTCCCCAAGAACACAGTGGCCTCTATCATTCTTAAATGGAAGAAGTTTGGAACCACCAAGACTCTTCCTAGAGCTGGCCTCCCGGCCAAACTGAGCAATCGGGGGAGAAGGGCCTTGGTCAGGGAGGTGACCAAGAACCGGATGGTCACTCTGACAGAGCTCCAGAGCTCCTCTGTGGAGATGGGAGAACCTTCCAGAAGGACAACCATCTCTGCAGCCCTCCACCAATCAGGCCTTTAGGGCAGAGTGGCCAGACGGAAGCCGATCCTCAGTAAAAGGCACATGACAGCCCGCTTGGAGTTTGCCAAAAGGCACCTAAAGATTCTCAGACCATGAGAAACAAGATTCTCTGGTCTGATGAAACCAAGATTGATCTCTTTGGCCTGAATACCAAGCATCACGTCTAGAGGAAACATGGCAGCATCCCTACGGTGAAGCATGGTGGTGGCAGTATCATGCTGTGGAGATGTTTTTCAGCGTCAGGGACTGGGAGACTAGTCAGGATCGAGGAAAAGATGAACAGAGCAAAGTACAGAGAGATCCTTGATGAAAACCTGCTCCAGAGCGCTCAGGACCTCAGACTGGGGCGAAGGTTCACCTTCCAACAGGACAACGACCCTAAGCACACAGCCAAGACAATTCAGGATTGGCTTCGGGACAAGTCTTTGAATGTCCTTGAGTGGCCCAGCCAGAGCCCAGACTTGAACCCTATCGAACATCTCTGGAGAGACCTGAAAAAAGCTGTGCAGCAACGCTCCCCATCCAACCTGACAGAGCTTAAGAGGATCTGCAGAGAAGAATGGGAGAAACTCCCCAAATACAGGTGTGCCAAGCTTCTAGCATCATACTCAAGAAGACTCGAGGCTGTAATCGCTGCCAAAGGTGCTTCAACAAAGTGCTGAGTAAAGGGTCTGAATGCTTATGTAAATGTGATATTTCAATTGTTTTTTCTTTATGAATTTGCAAAAGATTATAAAAACCTGTTTTTCTTTGACATTATGGGGTATTGTGTGTAGATTGATGATGGAAAATGTAATGTAATCCATTTTAGAAAATGTGGAAAAAGTCAAGGGGTCTGAATACTTTCAGGAATGCAATGGTCTAGCTTGCCTTTCTTCACAAGATACATGGCTGGTGAACGAGACAGTAAAGGCTTATCCCTGATTGCCATCTTGTGGTAGATACTGTATCTAGCAGGCCTAATTTCAACGAAATACAGCCTTAATTTAGAAGAATATGGTTTATAAACTGTATTGAGGATTAACTCTCTTATTTTACTTATTTAAAACAAAAACAAAAAAACTAAGACATTTTTCTCCATTTTTGAAACAATTTTATTTCCAAAAGATAGCCTACTTTATAAACAAATGATGTATAGCTCCAAATTATGTTGAAGTTATGTTGTTCTCATGGATTGTTATTCTTTGGGAATTAGAGGTGTTGTAGAAATCACCAAGTGCTGTGCATGTGAGCATTTTATGGGATGCACCATTGTTTTTGTTGATGCCCACTATTTTAAGATTTGCACACATTACAGAAAACAACAAATTGTGTTACTATCTCAATTATATTCATTTCCAGCGTTATGTTCATAATGTATAAATTATATCAATATTATTTAGACAATTCTAGTGGCATAAATTGTGTTATCGCGGTATTTCACTGCTGTAAACCCGCGAGATATTATGAAAGGGGCGTATTCTCTCATGTGCTTTCTATTTAATAGCTACGTAGAATCAGCGACATTAAGCAACATTAAGCGACATTAACGGGTCCCAAATCGCGCAAAAAGCTTCAAAACAAAGTAATGGGTTTACTTTAACACTATCACAAATTGTGGTATAGTTTGTTGTTTCAAGATGCGTTCTGTTTTTATGATCCTACCCTCATCTTTTCGTGCTATTTTAGTAGATATTAAGGCTTATGGTTAAGTTCTAGAGGTTATTTGTAAATACTCTGCCAAGGTTGGTAAAAAAAAAAAAAAGATTCAATCATTCTATTTTAATAAGGGGACATTGACATATTTATTAAACAACAATGTTACATGTAAATGAGTTGAAAACGAATTAATGATTGAAAGTTAAATATTCTAATAAGTGTGTTATTTTCATTCCACTTGATGGCACTGTCCCCCATTCTGCTCCACATCAGGGGTCTGAGGATTAAGGTAGTCAAACACATCTTTGCGTTGGTAGATGTGCTGTGCATTGTTATATTACACTGTTATTGACTGTTATAAACACATATTACATTATAAATTGTTATTACATTGTTAAAACAACAAACATACAATGTGAAGAGTGGGTGAAATCATAAACGGTTTGCATAAACACATGAGCTGAAGGGGGAGTTGTCCATATAAAACAGGAGAACCAAGAAATAAGCCACAGACAGTCAGACAGACAGGTAACCACTTATCTGAAGCTGATGAGGTTGTTGTAGATGAGACAGTGAGGTTCAAGTAACCAATAGGATTTGATATGCTGTATTTATGTAAATTTTTCTCAGTAGCCACTACTAATTCTGCTCTCACCCAGTTTTTCCCGCTACTCACATCCCCTCTCATATCCACCAAAGCTATCCCCTGCTCACTCAGCTCCTGAAACTGGTCACCCACCTTCCTACACCATCCACTGACACCTCCTCCTCCCTCAGGCCTACTGTGCATACTATGGGGTAAAGATCACTCCCTACATCGACGACTCCCAAACATTCCACTCACAGATTCTTGCCATCATACTAAATACCAGAGTGTGGTCCAAGACAGAATCATTCCCTGTGGCTACATTAATCCTGGTCCCTCAGCCATCATTCAGGCACACCAGCTCTTTCACTTCTATGAAGTGGCCCATGTGCCCCCACCAGAGTGTGTTGTGGGCATTAAAATCGCCACACCACATCTATCTTATATCCTCCCCAAATAGCTGTATTGTGCTATCATAGAGAACTTTGAAAATTTTAAAAATTGTCAGAGGTGGAAGTAGATTTCTGCTGAAAAAAATAGCCTAATGACACAAACTTTGATGGTATAACACTGGATCCTATTAGTAGTGTCTGAGGATTCCAAATCACCCCCTTTATTGGAGACAACTTGTATAGTTCCAATAGTACAGTAACAAATAGCTGTATAGTGCTGTAATGAAAATACGGTTTTGGTAACAGTTGACAGTAGGTTTTCCTCAAAGAAACTTTCGAATGACGCAAATCTAGCCGTGAAAATGATCAATACTTTGTAGTTATATACCTTTTGTAATGTTGTTTTATTTTCCCTTCTTTTTTTTCTCCGTCTGAGTGGCAGCCCACAGGTACAATGTATGAAATAATGAATTGAAAATATATGGAATATTAAATGATATTAATTGACATATTGTATGAAATAATGAATTGAAAATATATGGAATATGAAACGATATTAATTGACATATTGTACACCCCCCAACGAAGAAAAGGACGAAATATATATATTTTTTACATGTTTAAGTCACTTTAAACTGTAACCGTTGTGATTTTAAATCAGAAAAACGTACTGCAAGTTTGGTAAAAAAAAATCAGGGGGACTTTTATTATGGAATTTAGCCGTTTGATCATGTGACCTTAATATCGCTAGGTTCACAATGCTCTATCTAATGACGTACAAAGCCTATTTGCTGTATAATAACTTACACAGTCTGGTCTAAAAACTCATGATAAAAACAAAGTCCACAGAATGTCAGATGAAGAGATTCCTTCAACTTCCAGTGAGCCTTTACCCGAGGATGAAGAGGTGAGCATTTGAAAGCTGACATTTTATTTTCTAGAAATATGAGATAGAGTGTTAGTAGCTAGCTAGAAGTTTGCAGTATTGTTGATTTGGGGGGGAACATGGCGGGAAGGAGGCTTGCACATCTGCATAGCTCTCTACAGATGTTAGCTAGCTAGCTAGCTAGCTACCAAGATACCACCAGGTCAAACGCTGGCCAGAAAACATTAGCTACAATGCTGGTCGTCGTGCAGTTCAGAGAAATGTAGCCAATATTCCCGTAGACTTTTAAATGCTGCCAATTTCAGCCTGACAAGCCTTGGAGTCCCAGAGCAACCCAACTGACTGTATCTGTAGCTTGTTGTCTGTTTCACTTATCCCAGGCAGCCCACAACACGGAACAGTCGCATGCAGCCTAGAGCAAATCAGCTGTCTCCTTTCAACACTAGCTGCTGGGGACTGTCAAGTTTGGCTACAGTAGCTAGCAATTTAATGTATACGAAGAACAGGCGTGGTGAGGTGTACCTAACTGCTTGAACTTGAACTTCAGTTCAATTGAAGGCATAACTTTTTGCACATTTTATAATCAATAATATGTGAACGTGCTCAAAATGTATTATAATTGATTGTGCAACAAGCATCACATGAAGCAAACTTTCTCGACCTCCAACCATAAATCTATATTGATTAAACATATATAATAATGTTGCATGAATTCAGAGGAAATTATAAATTAAATACACAACACATTCCCTGTATATGACCACTGAAATAGCCATATAAAATGGTTTTAAATTGCACATTACATTGATTGAATGTTACTGAATCATATGCCAAATAAAAATGTACAATTCATTGAGCATGTCATAAAGTAGTCTACTGTGTTTGTGCTCAGGCAAAAGACCCCCCATTTCAGCTGAAGCCACCTCCGAAGGCTTTGCCCAAGGCGGAGGGTGAGGTGGATCCAGAGTATGAAGAGAAAAGGGTGAGACAAATTGCTTTGTCACAAACTCTCTCTATGGATATCTAAATAGGATTCACTTTTTTTTAATGCAATTGCAAGTTTAAAGATTACAATAGGGAGTATCACATGACACAGAGTAGTCACAGCATTGGTTGAATTCTGTGCCAGATATTTGAGAAAAACATCTCATTTTTTCCCAACTTTTGCAATGAGCTCCCCGCTGTGGTAAATGTGGGGAATTGCAGTGTGTAGTGAGACTAGTGAGACTGCAGAGTTTAGTGAGACTGCAGGGTGTAGTGAGACTGCAGTGTGTAGTGAGACTGTAGTGAGAATGTGAATGGCAAAATTACAGTTAAGCATAACATTGATCTCATATCCTTACTAGTCAATAACAACTTGTTGGTGTATTTTTGTATTTTCCCCCTGTCTTTTTACGATAGAAAACAGATAGAGCAAACCGGTTTGAGTTTCTGCTCAAGCAAACAGAACTCTTTGCCCACTTCATCCAGCCTGCGTCTCAGAAGTCTCCTACTTCACCCCTGAAAGTGAAACTTGGACGACCTCGCGTTAAACAGGACGAGAAACAAAATCTCCTCTCTGTTGGCGAGTATGTGGCTGCTGACTTGTTTTAAGAGTCTTGCCTTTATTTACAATTTTCTAAATGACAGGTCTATGTTATTGTAAATAAACAAGCTATATTGGTGAATAAACCATGAATAATAAACAATACAATCTGTTTACCATTGTAGCAAGACATACTATTTGTCTGCCACCTGTGTTTTACAGTAACCGCCACCGACGCACAGAACAAGAAGAAGATGAGGAGTTGTTATCTGAGAGCAGGAAGGCAGCTAACGTCTTGGTTCGCTTTGAAGAGTCCCCATCCTGTACGATGTTTTCATATAGCGTTTAAATGCTCATTTTAATGCTCAGCCCTCCATGTAAATTAACTGTAGCAGGTGTAACTCAGTGTTGTATTCTAGCAGGTGTATACCTTAAATCCTAATTAGCTCCCATTTGAGAACTGCTGACGATTGATAAGAGTATAATTTTAAAAAATTCTCCATTAATTACAAAACGTTTTTTCTTTTACAGATGTAAAAAATGGAGAGCTGAGAGATTATCAAATCAGAGGTCTCAACTGGATGATCTCCCTTTATGAAAACGGCATTAATGGAATCTTGGCTGATGAAATGGTAATAATGACTGTACCTTAAACATAAAATTAACAATAGTTGCTGTTTACTTGCCTACATTAAGTGCCAGAGCCTTATATTGATATCCAAGTGTAAAGGGCCATCCACACCAAGGACGATAATGATCAACTATACATAACTATAAAACGTTGGCAAGCATCCACACTAGAGGAAGGTTTATCATTCTGCAGCAGGGGATGGCAAACTTTATGGCTTGAGGGCCACATCGGGATTTTGAAATTCAACGGAGGGCCAGAAAAAGCAGTTATTTGAAAATATATAGGTCCACTATAATTTCTACATACTTTCTATCTAGTTTTAGATGTTCAAGTGTGGCCTGGAGTTTATTTTTTACCCAAAATAATAATTTCCCAACTCATCATTTTTACTCAAACCTCCCGCCCGCGGGCCGTAGTTTGCCCACCCCGTTCTACAGTCTAGGCTACACCTGTCAATCAACTGATCAATGCATCCTACTGCACGCCGTAGGCTTATTAATAAGGTGGTAACACAGACCATTCATTGCTTTCAGGGTGTGTTCATTTTCATAGTGACAACTGCAATTAATACTTTAATGTAGATAATAATATAGAAACACATATTTAAATGTAGCAATTCAACAACAAACGCTGTTTAGCTTGTGGACCTTCATGTCATGCTTGCCTCGTTGCTCTAGTGGTTTGCAATTGATTTCCATTTTTCTAATAGTTGCCAATTCATTTGGATCTTCTTTTTCACTGTGCTCATCTGTCTGTCCTGTGCACCATTTGCAATGCATCAATGCAACAATGTTATCATCACCAGCTAAAGTAATCACACCAACACTCTTTCTCCTCAACTTTTTTTACATTCAGCAATTAGCAAGAGCAAGCCTGCTTCTCTCCTCGAATAGGCTGTTAGGCCTACTATAAAAAATGCAAAAAATAAATGTCATATAGGTTTTGTAGCCTATAGCTTTTCCTGGGATTGCGCACGGTAACAGCTGGAAGAGAGAGGCTAGTAGAGATGTGTCAAATCAAATCAAATCAAATTGTATTTGTCACATGCACCGAATACAGCCAGTGTAGACCTTACCGTGAAATGCTTACTTACAAGCCCTTACTTACAATGCAGATTTTTTTGTTGTTGAAGTAAGTAAGAAGATATTTGATATTTTTTTTAATTAAAATAAACTAAAGTAAGAAAAAAAGTAACACAATAAAATAACAATAACAAGGCTTTATAGAACGGGTGGGTCTAATCCTGAATGCTGATTGGTTAAAACCGCAGTCCAGCCGGTGTCTATTCCACAAGTTACCACCGGCTAAATCTATGACGTTAAAATGTCTATTTACTCTGTTCCACCTGACTGCGCAATCCATTGTCTCATCAGCCCAGCCAGGTAATTTATAAACTTGATCTCCACTATAAAAAGCATCTAGACATTATCTCACATTTCTTTTAGACTAAATAAATAAACCTTGCTGTCTGTCTCTCCGACATTTGCAACATTGTTTCAAAATTCAAATTCGATCTCCAGCTGTCCCATAGTAATGAACGTGTTGGGACGAGACAGACAGGCAGCGTTTCTCAGCCAGTCTAAATCATGAATCAGCTGGCATAATTTTTATGGACATATACAAAGCAATGTCAATTGAAAAAAGGTCAAATGAAACGAAGTGCAGCTAGTTTGCAGTCTTTCCAGCTTCAGTTCGAAGTGATTGTGTTAGATCTGTTGTTGGCTAGCTCCTCTGAATAACAGTGTCCTGACGAGAGAGCACATTTTCTATGCCAGGCGAAATCACGCCTCATTGTTATGGATGTATCCAAATAAATGTCACTAGAAAACAGCTTAAACAAATGCACATGCAGCTACTGTTGTTATTCTGGCTGCACGGTTTGACATGACTGTAAATTCGCTGTAGGGATAAGAACGTTGCCAGCCAGTATAGCAATGGAACATTTAGAATGAACGACTGGGTCGCGTCCATCGATACAGAACAAAAAGACTGGGTTGCGTCTCTGGCAACCGAACCGATAGAACAAACGACCAGCCGGCTTGGGTAGCAACCCTAGATTTGTGTCGGGGCTATATCTTGTGGAATGATGAGATAGTATTAATAAATTCATCAAAATAATGTTTTTAATGAAAATATTAAAAATAATTATTTGAAAATGTTGGTAACCCGTTCTATAAAAGTGATAATGTCTCGGGCCTAACAACAGCCGTGCCGATATATCCTCCAAACACCGGCTTCTTGGGCATTATCACTTAAATATACAGGGGGTACCGGTACCGAGTCAGTGTGCGGGGTACAGGTTAATCGAGGTAATTGAGGCTATATGTACATGTAGGTAGGAGTAAAGTGACTATGCATAGAAAATAAACAGCGAGTAGCAGCAGCGTAAAAAAGGGGGTCAATGCAAATACAGTAGGGGTAGCCATTTCATTAACTGTTTAGCAGTCTTATGGCTTGGGGGTAGAAGCTGTTAAGGAGCCTTTTGGACCTAGACTTGGCGTTCCGTTACCGCTTGCCGTGCGGTAGCAGAGAGAACAGTCGATGACTAGGGTGGCTGGAGTCTTTGACCATTTTTTGGGCCTTCCTCTGACATCGCCTGGTATAGAGGTCCTGGATGGCAGGGAGCTAGGCCCCGGTGATGTACTGGGCCGTATGCACTACCCTCTGTAGCTCCTTGCGGTCAGATGTGTAGCCGAAATAAGAGGCTAGATATTAGGCCATTCATTACAGGTGTAGGATCTTAATTTGAGCCAGTTTGCTACAGCAGTAAAATAATCCTGCAGAAACAGGAAATGTGGACTATAATGAATGGACATTTTTGTAGGGGTTGATGCATTATTTATAAGGGAAAATCAAGTCTGACATTTCAGAGTGGAAATTGCAAACTTCTGAAGCCTTTTTAAACTCAAATACACTAGAAGTTTTACATTTCGAAAGTTCTCCTGCAACAGGGTGATCAAATTAAGATCCTAAATCTTTAGAAAAATATTAGGGCTATAAATATGAATGCCTACCTGTCAAAGAGCAAGAAAAAAGTTTATAGATTATGAAATGGCAGATCTGTGCATTTCTCCAGGCTGCGCTCTGCAGTCCCTTGGCACGTAAAGCTCCATAATTGATTAGGCATACGTTTTTAGACAGGAAAGTTATTCTACCTAGGCTACAACAACACAGTACGATGAGGAATTTATTATTCTTATAAAGTGAGTACACTATTGTCTAGGCTGTAAACTGCAGTGATGTAGGCTAATTTGAATAACCGCTCAAACGTCCTATTTTGGGTGCATGTTTTATGCTGAAATAACTGCCCTAGGCCTGATTATGCAACCATTTGGATCAGTTATGGGTCTGTTCTCTACAGTTTACAAGGTCCAGAAAGGTAGCAGGCCATTTACAGTTGATGTCGGAAGCTTACATACACCTTAGCCAAATACATTTAAACTCAGTTTTTCACAATTCCTGACATTCAATCCTAGTAAAAAATTCCCTGTTTTAGGTCAGTTAGGATCACCACTTTATTTGAAATGTCAGAATAATAGTAGAGAGAATTTTTTATTTCAGCTATTATTTCTTTCATCACATTCCCAGTGGGTCAGAAGTTTACATACACTCAATTAGTATATGGTAGCATTGCCTTTAAATTGTTTAACTTGGGTCAAACGTTTCGGGTAGCCTTCCACAAGCTTCCCACAATAAGTTGGGTGAATTTTGGCCCATTCCTCCTGACAGAGCTGGTGTAACTGGGTCAGGTTTGTAGGCCTCCTTGCTCGCACACATTTTTCAGTTCTGCCCACCAATTTTCTATAGGATTGAGGTCAGGGCTTTGTGATGGCCACTCCAATACCTTGACTTTGTTGTCCTTAAGCCATTTTGCCACAACTTTGGAAGTATGCTTGGGGTCATTGTCCATTTGGAAGACCCATTTGCGACCAAGCTTTAACTTCCTGACTGATGTCTTGAGATGTTGCTTCAATATATCCACATAATTTTCCTTCCTCATGATGCCATCTATTTTGTGAAGTGCACCAGTCCCTCCTGCAGCAAAGCACCCCCACAGCATGATGCTGCCACCCCGTGCTTCATGGTTGGGATGGTGTTCTTCGGCTTGCAAGCCCCCCTTTTTCCTCCAAACATAACGATGGTCATTATGGCCAAACAGTTCTATTTTTGTTTCATCAGACCAGAGGACATTTCTCCAAAAAGTACGATCTTTGTCCCCATGTGCAGTTGCAAACCGTAGTCAGGCTTTTTTATGGCGGTTTTGGAGCAGTGGCTTCTTCCTTGCTGAGCGGCCTTTCAGGTTAGGTCGATATAGGACTCGTTTTACTGTGGATATAGATACTTTTGTACCTGTTTCCTACAGCATCTTCACATGGTCCTTTGCTGTTATTCTGTAAATTGATTTGCACTTTTCGCACCAAAGTACGTTCATCTCTAGGAGACAGAACGAGTCTCCTTCCTGAGCGGTATGACGGCTGCGTGGTCCCATGGTGTTTATACTTGTGTACTATTGTTTGTACAGATGAACGTGGTACCTTCAGGCGTTTGGAAATTGCTCCCAATGATGAACCAGACTTCAACTGTATATGGTGTATTTTGTCAGGCTGTAGGCCTATCGGCGTTAACAGATACACTACAGTATGTGAACACCTGCTCGTCTAAACGTCTCATTCCAAAATCATGGGCATTAATATGGATTTGGTCCCCCCTTTGCTGTTATAACAGCCTCCACTCTTCTGGGAAGACTTTCCACTAGATGTTGGAACATTGCTGCAGGGACTTGCTTACATTCAGCCACAAGAGCATTGGTTAAGTCGGGCACTGATGTTGGGCGATTAGGCCAGGCTTGCAGTCGGCGTTCCAATTCATCCCAAAGCTGTTCGATGGGGTTGAGGTCAGGGCTCTGTGCAGGCCAGTTAAGTTATTCTACATCGATCTCGACAAACCATTTCTGTATGGACCTCTCTTTGTGCATGGGGGCATTGTCATGTTGAAACAGGAAAGTGCCTTCCCCAAACTGTTGCCACAAAATTGGAAGCACAGAATCGTTTAAAATGTCATTGTATGCGGTAGCGTTAAGGTTTCCCTTCACTGGAACTAAGGTGCCTAGCCCGAACCATGAAAAACAGCCCCAGACCATTATTCCTCCTCCACCAAACTTTACAGTTGGCACTATGCATTGGGGCAGGTAGCGTTCTCCTGGCATCTGCCAAACCCAGATTCATCCGTCGGACTGCCAGATGGTGAATCGTGATTCAACACTCCAGAGAACACGGATCCACTGCTCCAGAGTCCAATGGCGGCAAGCTTTACACCACTCCAGCCGACACTTGGCATTGCGCATGGTGATCTTAGGCTTGTGTTCGGCTGCTCGGCCATGGAAACCCATTTCATAAAGCTCCCGACGAACAGTTCTTGTGCTGACGTTGCTTCAAGAGGCAGTTTGGAACTTGGTAGTGAGTGTTGCAACTGAGGACAGACGATTTGTACGTGCTTCAGCACTCAGCGGTTCCATTCTTTGCGCTTGTGTGGCCTACCACTTCACGGCTGAGCCGTTGTTGCTCTTAGACATTTCCACTTCACAATAACAGCACTTACAGTTGACCGGGGCAGCTCTAGCAGGACAGAAATTTGACAAACTGACTTGTTGGAAAGGTAGAATCCTATGCTCTTCATTAAGGCCATTCTACTGCCAGTGATTGCCTATGGAAATCTTATGGCTGTGCTCGATTTTATACACCTGTCAGCAACTGCTGTGGCTGAAATAGCCGAATCCACAAATTTGAAGGGGTGTCCACATACTTTTGTATATATAGTGTACATAGGAAAATATGGGCTTCTTCTGACACTGAGTTGCGCTGTCAGTCGTGTATCATCAGTCTTCCAAGTCTTCCTATAATTCATGTGGCCACCAATATGCTCACATGACCAGTTATTCAGGAAAGCTCACCGCACGCTCTGCCTCTTCGATCGGCTATTCCTTGCGCACCTAGAACGCTTCAATAGAACACATTTTGGATTGGTTTTTGACGTTGTACTGTTGGGGAGACAGGGATTAAATCGCTCAGAAAGTGATCCTGTCAGGTTCGAGCGTGGATGTGGTGTGGAATCAAGCGCAGGACAACAGAGGCTTCGTTCAACAGTCTTTAGTGAAGACACGAAAAACAAGACACAAGGCTAAATCCAAGCCGGAAGGCAAGCGAACATTACGCACACTGAGTACAGTTCAAAATACAAAACAAAATGCGCACACTGTGCGAACACTCTCTCCAAACAAATCACGAGAGAGAGAAGTACTAGCAGCCCTTGCTGACATAAGAAACAATTACACACAACACATGACAAAACCCAAGAGAACTAATAGGACACATAATTAACACTAACAATGAACAGGTGTACAAAACAGACCAAACCAAGCAAACATCGAAACATAGAACGGTGGCAGCTAGTACTCCGGAGACGACGACCGCCGAAGCCTGCCCGAACAAGGAGGAGGAGCAGCCTCGGCCGAAACCGTGACAGTACCCCCCCCTTGACGTGCGGCTCCAGCCGTGCGCCGACCCCGGCCTCGAGGACGACCAGGAGGACGCGGAGCAGGGCGCGTGGGATGACCACGATGGAACTCGGTCAGAAGAGACGGGTCTAAGATGTCCCTCCTCGGCACCCAGCACCGCTCCTCCGGGCCGTACCCCTCCCACTCCACGAGATATTGGAGACCCCCCATCCGGCGTCTCAAATCCAGGATGGACCGAACAGTGTACGCCGGAGCCCCCTCGATGTCCAGCGCGGGCGGAGGAGTCTCTTCTATCTCATAGTCCTGGAGTGGACCAGCTACCACCGGCCTGAGGAGAGACACATGGAACGAGGGGTGAATATTCTTGTAATCAATAGGCAGTTGTAACCTGTAACACACCTCGTTCAACCTCCTCAGGACTTTAAAAGGCCCCACAAACCGCCGACCCAGCTTCTGGCAGGGCAGGCGGAGGGGCAGGTTTCTGGTCGAGAGCCAGACTCGATCTCCCGGTGCGTACACCGGCCCCTCACTGCGGTGGAGATCGGCGCTTGTCTTATGTCGACGGATGGCCCGCTGCAGATGGACGTGTGCAGCGTTCCACGTCTCCTCCGAGCGCCGCACCCACTCATCCACCGCAGGGGCCTCGATCTGGCTCTGATGCCAAGGTGCCAGAGCCGGCTGGTACCCTAACACACACTGGAAAGGAGTTAGTTTAGTGGAGGAGTGGCGGAGAGAGTTCTGTGCCATCTCGGCCCAGGGAACATACCTCGCCCACTCCTCCGGCCGGCCCTGGCAATACGACCTCAGAAACCTACCCACATCCTGGTTTACACGTTCGACCTGCCCATTGCTCTCCGGATGGTACCCCGAGGTAAGGCTCACCGAAACCCCCAAGCGCTCCATGAACGCTCTCCAGACTCTGGAGGTAAACTGGGGGCCTCGATCAGACACTATATCCTCGGGTACCCCGTAATGCCGGAAGACGTGGGTGAATAGTGCCTCAGCGGTCTGTAGGGCAGTAGGGAGACCCGGCATGGGAAGGAGACGACAGGCCTTCGAGAACCGATCCACAATGACCAGGATGGTGGTATTCCCCTGTGAGGGGGGAAGGTCTGTAACAAAATCCACCGAGAGGTGAGACCAGGGTCGTTGTGGAACGGGCAGGGGTTGTAACTTTGCCCTGGGCAAGTGTCTGGGCGCCTTACACTGGGCACACACCGAGCAGGAGGAGACATAAACCCTCACATCCCTGGCTAACGTTGGCCACCAGTACTTTGTGCTAAGGCAGTGCACTGTCCGGCCAATACCTGGATGTCCAGAGGAGGGTGACGTGTGAGCCCAATAAATGAGTCGATCCCGAACCTCGAGCGGAACGTACGTCCGACCCACAGGACACTGTGGAGGGCTAGGGTCGGTACGTAACGCCCGCTCGATTTCAGTATCGACCTCCCACACCACCGGTGCCACCAGACAAGACTTCGGTAGTATGGGAGTGGGCTCAACTGACCTCTCCTCTGTGTCATACCGCCGAGACAGGGCGTCTGCCTTTCCGTTCTGGGACCCAGGGATGTACGTGATCTTAAAGACGAACCGGGCTAGAAACATGGTCCACCGAGCCTGGCGAGGATTCAGTCTCCTAGCTGGCCGAATGTATTCCAGGTTACGGTGGTCAGTCAAAATGAGGAAAGGGTGTTGAGCCCCCTCAAGCCAATGCCTCCACACCTTTAGGGCCTGTACCACGGCTAACAGCTCCCTGTCCCCTACGTCATAATTTCGCTCCGCCGGACTGAGCTTCTTCGAGTAAACAGCACAGGGCGGAGTTTAGGTGGCGTGCCGGACCGTTGCGAGAGAACGGCCCCTCACTCCTCTTGAGACAAAGGATACACATGGCTCCGCGGGAGCGCAGCTCCTGCCTGGAGGTCTATCGCACAATCCCCCTGTCTATGAGGTGGCAATCGCGCCGCCCTCGCCTTGCTAAACACGAGTGCTAAATCCTCATACTCGGGGGGAACGTGCAGTGCGGGCACTTGGTTTGGACTCTCCACCGAGGTCGCCCCCACGGAAACACCCAGACATCGCCCCACACACCGGGCAGACCACTCCTTAAGAGCCCTCTCTCGCCACGAAATAGTGGGATCATGAGTAATCAACCAGGGAAGCCCCAGTACCACCGGATACGCAAGGAGAGTCGATCAGATATAGCTGAATCGTCTCCTCATGACCCCCCTGCGTCTCCATCCTAAGTGGCGCTGTGACCTCCCTAATCACCGATCCCAACGGACGGCTATCTAGGGCATGTACAGGGAAGGGATTTTTAACAGGAAGGAGAGGAATCCCTAACTCTATACAAAATTTTCGATCTACAAAATTCCCAGCTGCGCCTGAATCTACTAGCGCCTTATGCTGGGAACGAGGTGCAACCTGTGAAAAACAAACAGGTATGGTTAGGTGCACGACAGAGAGATCTGGGTAAGTGGGGCGCCTACTCACCAGTGGACTCCCCAGTGCGTGGCCTGCCGTCTCGTCCCCCTGGAGACCCTCCCCAGCACCTAGCCGCAGTGTGTCCTCCACGGCCACAGTTGGTGCAGGGGACGGCCCCCCTCGGACTCCTTCTCCTCCGTTCTCTAGCGCCAGCACCCCCGAGCTCCATAGGACTCGGCTCGGAGGTGCTGGAGGATGGAATGGGCGACCCCCACCCAGGACGTCCGCGGGTAGCCAGCAGGGTGTCTAGACGAATGGCCATGTCAACCAATTGGTCAAACGTGAGAGTGGTGTCCCTGCAAGCCAACTCTCTACGGACGTCCTCCCGGAGGCTGCAGCGGAAGTGGTCTATGAGGGCCCGCTCATTCCACCCTGCATCTGCCGCTAGAGTCCGGAACTCCAGTGCAAACTCTTGGGCGCTCCTCATCCCCTGCCGGAGGTAGAATAGACGCTCCCCCGTCTATTCTCCGCATATGTGATCGTTGCGGCGTCTATCCTCCTCCATTAGGCGTTGGCCCACTCCAACGCCTTGCCGGTGAGACAGGAGATGAGGGCGGAAACGCTCTCGTGTCCCGAGGGCACCGGGTGTACGGTGGCTAGGTGGAGTTCGACTTGTAAAAGGAAACCCTGACAGCGGTGCCATCATACGCCCTCGGGAGCGAGAATCCCACTGGGTTCCGGAGAGTGGACAGGTGGACTGACCAGAGGTGGTGTGGTAGGTGGAGGCGTGGGTACCCCGCTGGTCTCCCATCCACGGAGGGTATTCATCACTTCATCGAGAGCGTTCCCGATCCGGTTGATTCTGGCCTCCTGTCCACGAAGGCGCTCCTCGATTACCTCGGCGGGCGAGGCTGCTCCTGCTGATTCCATGGAATGGTGTGTAATTCTGTCAGGTTCGAGCGTGGATGTGGTGTGGAATCAAGCGCAGGACAACAGAGGCTTCGTTCAACAGTCTTTAGTGAAGACACGAAAAACAAGACACACGGCTAAATCCAAGCCGGAAGGCAAGCGAACATTACGCACACTGAGTACAGTTCAAAATACAAAACAAAATGCGCACACTGTGCGAACACTCTCTCCAAACAAATCACGAGAGAGAGAAGTACTAGCAGCCCTTGCTGACATAAGAAACAATTACACACAACACATGACAAAACCCAAGAGAACTTATAGGACACATAATTAACACTAACAATGAACAGGTGTACAAAACAGACCAAACCAAACAAACATCGAAACATAGAACGGTGGCAGCTAGTACTCCGGAGACGACGACCGCCGAAGCCTGCCCGAACAAGGAAGAGGAGCAGCCTCGGCCGAAACCGTGACAGATCCCATGATGGCTATTGTTATCGTTCTCCACTGTTTTTATAGTTATTGTTGTAGACGCTGTTGTTCACTTGAATTAGAACAACTTTTATTTTTGGATTGTTATAGTTATCGTCCTTGGTGTGGATTGCCCTTAAGATTCTGGTAAGTGCTACTAGTTGTGAGTCAAGCTTATGTGCTGTATGTATGACAAGTTGTTTATTTGTTTATTGACCACAGGGCTTGGGGAAGACCCTCCAAACCATTGCATTGCTGGGATACCTGAAGCATTACAGGAACATTCCTGGCCCCCACATGGTTCTGGTTCCCAAATCAACACTACACAACTGGATGAATGAGTTCAAACGCTGGGTACCAACCCTTAAGGCAGTCTGTCTCATCGGGGACAAGGATGCAAGAGTATGTCCTGTTTTTTCTCTTGATTGACACTGATTAAACATGCCCTTTCATAACACATGATCTGGTGGGGAGGTAGCCAAGACCTCTAATGACTCCTTTGACAAATGTTCTCCTTATTCACCAGGCGGCTTTCATCCGTGATGTCATGATGCCAGGGGAATGGGATGTTTGTGTCACATCCTATGAGATGGTCATCAGAGAGAAATCTGTCTTCAAGAAGTTCAACTGGAGATACCTTGTCATTGACGAAGCTCATAGGATCAAAAATGAGAAGTCCAAGGTATGAACTCAAATGAAAATAATTTAGGGCTAAAACAAGTTTTTCTTTCTACTTTTCAATTAAAGAAACTTGGCCTATACACAATTATTTTAAATTATTTTTATGTAATCTTTACATCAATCCTGTGTTGTCAGCTCTCAGAGATTGTCCGTGAGTTTAAAACCACCAACCGTCTCCTCCTGACTGGAACGCCTCTGCAGAACAACCTCCATGAGCTGTGGTCACTCCTCAACTTCCTGCTACCTGATGTCTTCAACTCTGCCAACGTGAGTCCTGCCTCTGTTTGTTCTCTCCATTTATTCCTCTTGTAGTGATATTCCTCTCCTTTAGATGAATGTGACTGGAATACCAAATCGAGGAAGAAAATACATTCATATATCGCTCCAGGCAAAATGAACTGCATTCTTTTGTTGTTTTGTATCAAAAGACCCTCCAGCAGTATCTTTATGTTTTTTGTTGTTCCATTTATATCACCTAGTTTCAATGCGCTTCAGTCAATCACTGAGCTCCTCAGCCCCACCTGACATGCTTCTTGTCTTTCCATGATGTGTCAGAGAGGGAAAGGTAGCCCCGAGCATAGGCTTCCCCCCTCAGGCACTGCTCTGTTCTGTTGTCAGTTCCTCCCAGTTTGTCTGGGATCCCTCTCCCCCACTCACCCCCAGAGGCTGTAACTGATCATATGTGTCCTTTTCTCTAACACAATCCCCTCTACAACTGAAGCCAAAGCAGAATAATCTTTACTGAAAAAAAATGTATTCTCTAAAATAACTTTTGTACTTTCATGGAAAATCTGTGTTAAAAACAAAAGGAACATTTTTCTTTCATTCTCAGGACTTTGATTCTTGGTTTGACACCAACAACTGTCTGGGGGACCAGAAGCTGGTGGAGCGTCTGCATGCGGTAAGCTGTGTTTCACACTTCCATTACGTTCAGAGTTCACTGCAGAATCCTTCTTATCTATATTTATTTTTATTATACATACTACATAATATACATTGAGTTTACAAAACATTAAGAACACCTTCCTAATATTGAGTGGCACCCCCTTTTGCCCTCAGAACAGCCTCAATTCGTCGGGGCATGGACTCTACAAGAAAGCGTTCCACAGGGATGCTGGCCCATGTTGACTCCAATTCTTCCCACAGTTGTGTCAAGTTGGCTGGATGACCTTTGGGTGGTGGACCATTCTTGATACACACGAGAAACTGTTGAGCGTGAAAAACCCAGCAGCGTTGCAGTTCTTGACACACTCAAACCAGTGTGCCTGGCACCTTCTACCATACCCTGTTCAAAGACGCTTAAATCTTTGGTCTTGCCCATTCACCCTCTGAATGGCACACATACATACACAATCCATGTCTCAATTGTCTCAAGGCTTAAAAATCCTTCTTTAACCGGTCTCCTCCCCTTCATCTACACTGATTTGAAGTGGATTTAGAAAGTGACATCAATAAGGGATCATAGCTTTCACCTGGATTCACCTGGTCAATCTATTTAATGTAAAGAGCAGGTGTTCTTAATGTTTTGTTCACTCAGTGTATGTAAAGAAATACATGTAATACATGGTTAAAAAAAATAGATTAATAAAAGCATTTGCCTTGTGTAATGTGCTGTTTGTTCAGGTGCTTAGACCTTTCCTTCTGCGTCGCATTAAAGCTGAAGTGGAGAAAAACCTGCCTCCCAAAAAAGAGGTGAAGATTTACCTTGGACTGAGTAAGATGCAGCGAGAATGGTATGTATTTGGTTCAAATACTTAGTCCTTCCCAGTGTTGGCCATAGCTTTTGTTGGTTTAATGTTTCTATCAATGAAATTCAAATGAAACAATGTTTTGTTGTTCTATTTTTGTTAGGTACACACGGATTCTGATGAAGGACATTGACATACTCAATTCTTCTGGAAAAACAGACAAGATGCGTCTGTTGAACATCCTGATGCAGCTGCGGAAGTGCTGCAACCACCCATACCTGTTTGACGGGGCCGAGCCTGGACCCCCCTACACCACCGACACTCACCTGGTAACCAACAGCGGCAAGATGGTGGCCCTGGACAAGCTGCTGCCCAAAGTCCAGGAGCAAGGTGCTACACTCTCTCTGATCATTCAATGCTTTTACTGTAGTTTATCCCAAAAAATAATAAGGGGGGTTAAACAAAGAATATATTATTAATGTACATTTGATGTCTTAATCTCAAAGAGCTTTGATCTGTGGTTGTTACTGTACATTTGCAGTTGTAACAGACTATGCAATAAGTTGTCTATACAAACTCTGATCGATTGAAGTACATAATGGTCCTTTAAAAGTGCAAGGACAACCTCAGAGGATGCAGGCTCAAAGGTTTGCATTTTATTGAAGAATATCAGGATTCACATGTAGAATTTCAAATGTTATCATGACGCTTTCATGATGAGAAGTTAATTTGACAATCAAATCAGCCATGCTCATGTAGAATTAATCAAACCTTCCTGCCATGCAAAAAACCACATGAATCATTTTCTGCCATGTTTTTTCCCTTTGTGGAGATTGCATTTGAACTAGAGCAATGTGACTTGATAGTGAATGCTGTTCTGTTCCCTAATGGAATGACTGTGTTTTGTCTCATTGGTTGCCAGGGTCTAGAGTCCTCATCTTCAGCCAGATGACCAGGGTCCTTGACATTCTTGAGGACTACTGCATGTGGAGAGGTTATGAGTACTGCCGTCTAGATGGGAACACTCCACACGAAGCAAGACAGGTACGGGGCATGACTTCAGCTGATGAGGCCTCATTGACCACAATCACAGGCTCCCATGGAAACCATTAGGAACTGTAGTGGAACAGTTCAATCACAGTTCAATCAAACCTACCATGGTCGTGTTTTTGCAGTATCTTTACTTCAAGCCACTTTACTTTGCCTACTGTGCTCGTACTGACTGTGCTTGTAATATTTGTGTAAAGTGTATTTACTTTAACTACATGAAACAGAACTGATATTTTAAACATTGTCTAACTAATGCGTTAGCTTTATGGCCATGTTTCTAGGAAGCCATAGAGGCCTACAATGCTGAAAACAGCATCAAGTTCATTTTCATGTTGAGCACCAGAGCTGGAGGTCTGGGCATTAACCTGGCAACTGCAGACGTCGTTATCCTGTACGACTCCGACTGGAACCCTCAAGTGGACCTGCAAGCAATGGTTAGAAACATTTCAGTTGTGGCTTCCTTGGAAACGTACTTCTATATCTATATATACAGTTGAAGTCGGAAATGTACATACACTTAGGTTGGAGTCATTAAAACTCATTTTTCAACCACTCTACACATTTCTTGTTAACAAACTATACATTTGGCAAGTCGGTTAGGACAGCTACTTTGAGCATGACACAAGTCATTTTTCCAACAATTGTTTGCAGACATATTATTTAATTTATAATTCACTGTATCACAATTCCAGTGGGTCAGAAGTTTACATACACTAAGTTGACTGTGCCTTTAAACAGCTTGGAAAATTCCAGAAAAGTATGTCATGGCTTTAGAAGCTGACATCATTTGAGTCAGTTGGAGGTGTACCTGTGGATGTATTTCAAGGCCTACCTTCAAACTCAGTGCCTCTTTGCTTGACAACATGGGAAAATCAAAAGAAATCAGCCAACACCTCAGAAAATAAATTGTAGACTTCCACAAGTCTGGTTCTTCCTTGGGAGCAATTTCCAAACGCCTGAAGGTACCACATTCATCTGTACAAACAATAGTACGCAAGTATAAACACCATGGGACCACGCAGCCGTCATACCGCTCAGGAAGGAGACGCGTTCTGTCTCATAGAGATTAACGTACTTTGGTGCGAAAAGTGCAAATCAATCCCAGAACAACAGCAAAGGACCTTGTGAAGATGCTGGAGGAAACAGGTACTAAAGTATCTATATCCACAGTAAAACAAGTCCTATAATCGACATAACCTGAAAGGCCGCTCAGCAAGGAAGAAGCCACTGCTCCAAAACCGCCATAGAAAAAGCCAGACTACGGTTTGCAACTGCACATGGGGACAAAGATCGTACTTTTTGGAGAAATGTCCTCTGGTCTGATGAAACAAAAATAGAACTGTTTGGCCATAATGACCATCGTTATGTTTGGAGGAAAAAGGGGGTCGCTTGCAAGCCGAAGAACACCATCCCAACCGTGAAGCACGGGGGTGGCAGCACCATGCTGTGAGGTGCTTTGCTGCAGGAGGGACTGGTGCACTTCACAAAATAGATGGCATCATGAGGAAGGAAAATGATGTGGATATATTGAAGCATCATCTCAAGACATCAGTCAGGAAGTTAAAGCTTGGTCGCAAATGGGTCTTCCAAAGTACGTTCATCTCTAGGAGACAGAACGTGTCTCCTTCCTGAGCGGTATGACGGCTGCGTGGTCCCATGGTGTTTATACTTGCGTACTATTGTTTGTACAGATGAACGTGGTACCTTCAGGCGTTTGGAAATTGCTCCCAAGGATGAACCAGACTTGTAGAGGTCTACAATCTTTTTTCTGAGGTCGGCTGATTTTCTTTTCATTTTCCCATGATGTCAAGCAGAGGCACTGAGTTTGAAGGTAGGCCTTGAAATACATCCACAGGTACACCTCCAATTGACTCAAATGATGTCAATTAGCCTATCAGAAGCTTCTAAAGCCATGACATAATTTTCTGGAATTTTCCAAGCTGTTTAAAGGTACAGTCAACTTAGTGTATGTAAACTTCTGACCCACTGGAATTGTGATACAGTGAATTATAAATTTAAAAATATGTCTGTAAACAATTGTTGGAAAAATGACTTGTGTCATGCTCAAAGTAGCTGTCCTAACCGACTTGCCAAATGTATAGTTTGTTAACAAGAAATTTGTGGAGTGAAAGAAAAACGAGTTTTAATGACTCCAACCTAAGTGTATGTAAACTTCCGACTTCAACTGTAAATATATATATATATATACAGTGAGGGAAAAAAGTATTTGATCCCCTGCTGATTTTGTACGTTTGCCCACTGACAAATAAATAATCAGTCTATAAATTTAATGGTAGGTTTATTTGAAAAGTGAGAGACAGAATAACAACAAAAAAATCCTAAAAAACGCATGTCAGAAATGTTATGAATTGATTTCCATTTTAATGAGGGAAATAAGTATTTGACCCCTCTGCAAAACATGACTTAGTACTTGGTGGCAAAACCCTTGTTGGCAATCACAGAGGTCAGACGTTTCTTGTAGTTGGCCACCAGGTTTGCACACATCTCAGGAGGGATTTTGTCCCACTCCTCTTTGCAGATCTTCTCCAAGTCATTAAGGTTTCGAGGCTGACGTTTGGCAACTCGAACTTTCAGCTCCCTCCACAGATTTAATGTGCTTCTTCTTGAGCCACTCCTTTGTTGCTTTGGCCATGTGTTTTGGGTCATTGTCATGCTGGAATACCCATCCACGACCCATTTTCAATGCCCTGGCTGAGGGAAGGAGGTTCTCACCCAAGATTTGACGGTACATGGCCCTGTCCATCGTCTCTTTGATGCGGTGAAGTTGTCCTGTCCCCTTAGCAGAAAAACACCCCCAAAGCATAATGTTACCACCTCCATGTTTGACGGTGGGGATGGTGTTCTTGGGGTCATAGGCAGCATTCCTCCTCCTCAAACATGGCGAGTTGAGTTGATGCCAAAGAGCTCCATTTTGGTCTCATCTGACCACAACACTTTCACCCAGTTCTCCTCTGAATCATTCAGATGTTCATTGGCAAACTTCAGACGGGCATGTATATGTGCTTTCTTGAGCAGGGGGACCTTGCGGGCGCTGCAGGATTTCAGTCCTTCACAGCGTAGTGTGTTACCAATTGTTTTCTTGGTGACTATGGTCCAAGCTGCCTTGAGATCATTGACAAGATCCTCCCGTGTAGTTCTGGGCTGATTCCTCACCGTTTTCATGATCATTGCAACTCCACGAGGTGAGATCTTGCATGGAGCCCCAGGCCGAGGGAGATTGACAGTTATTTTATGTTTCTTCCATTTGCGAATAATCGCACCAACTGTTGTCACCTTCTTACCAAGCTGCTTGGCGATGGTCTTGTAGCCCATTCCAGCCTTGTGTAGGTCTACAATCTTGTCCCTGGCATTCTTGGAAAGCTCTTTGGTCTTGGCCCTGATGGAGATTTTGGAATCTGATTGATTGATTGCTTCTGTGGACAGGTGTATTTTTATACAGGTAACAAGCTGAGATTAGGAGCACTCCCTTTAAGAGTGTGCTCCTAATCTCAGCTCGTTACCTGTATAAAAGACACCTGGGAGCCAGAAATCTTTCTGATTGAGAGGGGGTCAAATACTTATTTCCCTCATTAAAATGCAAATCAATTTATAACATTTTTGACATGCGTTTTTCTGGATATTTTTGTTGTTATTCTGTCTCTCACTGTTAAAATAAACCTACCATTAAAATTATAGACTGATCATTTCTTTGTCAGTGGACAAACGTAGAAAATCAGCAGGGGATCAAATACTTTTGTCCCTCACTATATATATATATATATATATATATATATATATATATATATATATATATATATATATATATATATACACACACACTGCTCAAAAAAATAAAGGGAACACTTAAACAACACAATGTAACTCCAAGTCAATCACACTTCTGTGAAATCAAGCTGTCCACTTAGGAAGCAACACTGATTGGCAATACATTTCACATGCTGTTGTGCAAATGGAATAGACAACAGGTGGAAATAATAGGCAATTAGCAAGACACCCCCAATAAAGAAGTGGTTCTGCAGGTGGTGACCACAGACCACTTCTCAGTTCCTATGCTTCCTGGCTGATGTTTTGGTCACTTTTGAATGCTGGCGGTGCTTTCACTCTAGTGGTAGCATGAGACGGAGTCTACAACCCACACAAGTGGCTCAGGTAGTGCAGCTCATCCAGGATGGCACATCAATGCGAGCTGTGGCAAGAAGGTTTGCTGTGTCTGTCAGCATAGTGTCCAGAGCATGGAGGCGCTACCAGGAGACAGGCCAGTACATCAGGAGACGTGGAGGAGGCCGTAGGAGGGCAACAACCCAGCAGCAGGACCGCTACCTCCGCCTTTGTGCAAGGAGGAGCAGGAGGAGCACTGCCAGAGCCCTGCAAAATGACCTCCAGCAGGCCACAAATGTGCATGTGTCTGCTCAAACGGTCAGAAAACAGACTCCATGAGGGTGGTATGAGGGCCCGACGTCCACAGGTGGGGGTTGTGCTTACAGCCCAACACCGTGCAGGACGTTTGGCATTTGCCAGAGAACACCAAGATTGGCAAATTCGCCACTGGCGCCCTGTGCTCTTCACAGATGAAAGCAGGTTCACACTGAGCACATGTGACAGACGTGACAGAGTCTGGAGACGCCGTGGAGAACGTTCTGCTGCCTGCAACATCCTCCAGCATGACCGGTTTGGCGGCGGGTCAGTCATGGTGTGGGGTGGCATTTCTTTGGGGGGCCGCACAGCCCTCTATGTGCTTGCCAGAGGTAGCCTGACTGCCATTAGGTACCGAGATGAGATCCTCAGACCCCTTGTGAGACCATATGCTGGTGCGGTTGGCCCTGGGTTCCTCCTAATGCAAGACAATGCTAGACCTCATGTGACTGGAGTGTGTCAGCAGTTCCTGCAAGAGGAAGGCATTGATGCTATGGACTGGCCTGCCCGTTCCCCAGACCTGAATCCAATTGAGCACATCTGGGACATCATGTCTCGCTCCATCCACCAACGCCACGTTGCACCACAGACTGTCCAGGAGTTGGCGGATGCTTTAGTCCAGGTCTGGGAGGAGATCCCTCAGGAGACCATCCGCCACCTCAGCAGAAGCATGCCCAGGCGTTGTAGGGAGGCCATACAGGCACGTGGAGGCCACACACACTACTGAGCCTCATTTTGACTTGTTTTAAGGACATTACATCAAAGTTGGATCAGCCTGTAGTGTGGTTTTCCACTTTAATTTTGAGGGTGACTCCAAATCCAGACCTCCATGGGTTGATACATTTGATTTCCATTGATAATTTTTGTGTGATTTTGTTGTCAGCACATTCAACTATGTAAAGAAAAAAGTATTTAATAAGATTATTTCATTCATTCAGATCTAGGATGTGTTGTTTAAGTGTTCCCTTAATTTTTTTGAGCAGTGTATATATATGTATATATATATATATATATACACAGTGCATTCGGAAAGTATTCACACCCCTTCACGTTATGTTACAGCCTTATTATAAAATTTATTAAAGACTTTTTTTTTGCTTGTCAATCTACACACAACACCCCATAAGAAATATTTGCAAATGTATTACAAATAAAAGTTTAAAATGATATTTACATTAGTATTCAGACCCTTTACTCAGTACTTTGTTGAAGCACCTTTGGCAGCGATTACAGCCTCAAGTCTTCTTGGGTATGACGCTACAAGCATGGCACACCTGTATTTGGGGAGTTTCTCCCATTCTTCTCTGCAGATCTTCTCAAGCTCTGTCAGGTTGAATGGGGAGCGTCGCTGCACAGCTATTTTCAGGTCTCTCCAGAGATGTTCGATCGGGTTCAAGTCCGGGCTCTGGCTGGGCCACTCAAGTACATTCAGAGAATTGTCCCGAAGCCATTCCTGCGTTGTCTTGGCTGTGTGCTTAGGGTTGTTGTCCTGTTGGAAGGTGAACCTTCGCCCCAGTCTGAGGTCCTGAGCGCTCTGGAGCAGGTTTTCATCAAAGATCTATCGGTAGTTTTATCTGGTGATCTTTCCCTCGATCCTGACTAGTCAGTCCCTGCCACTTAAAAACATCCCCACAGCATGATGCTGCCACCACCATGCTTCACTGTAGGGATGGTGCCAAGTTTCCTCCAGATGTGACGCTCGGCATTCAGGCCAAAGAGTTCAATCTTGGTTTCATCAGACCAGAGAATCTTGTTTCTCATTGTCTGAGAGTCCTTTGGGTGCCTTTTGGCAAACTCCAAGCGGGCTGTCATGTGCCTTTTACTGAGGAGTGGCTTCCGTCTGGCCACTCTACCATAACAGTCTGATTGGTGAAGTGCTGCAAAGATGGTTGTCCTTCTGGAAGGTTCTCCCATCTCCACAGAGGAACTCTGGAGCTCTGTCAGAGTGACCATCGGGTTCTTCGTCACCTCTTTGACCAAGGACCTTCTGCCCCGATTGCTCAGTTTGGCCGGCCGGCCAGCTCTAGGAAGTGTGTTGGTGGTTCCAAACTTCTTCCATTTAAGAATGATAGAGGCCAATGTGTTCTTGGGGACCTTCAATGCTGCAGAAATTTTTTGGTACCCTTCCCCAGATCTGTGCTTCGACACAATCCTGTCTCGGAGCTCTACGGACAATTCCTTCGACATCATGGCTTGGTTTTTGCTCTGACATGCACTGTCAACTGTGAGACCTTATATAGACAGGTGTGTGCCTTTCCAAATCATGTCCAATCAATTGAATTTACCACAGGTGAACTCCAATTAAGTTATAGAAACAGCTCAAGGATGATCAATGGAAACAGGATGCACCTCAGCTCAATTTCGAGTCTCATAGGAACGGGTCTGAATACTTATGTAAATAAGGTATTTCTGTTTTTTAGTTTTTATACATGGGGGATACAATCTTCCCAGCTCTGCAGATTTTGCTGCGAAGAGACAAAATCATTAGATCATTTGTTTTGGTACAGTTGAAAAATATATGGCAAATAGAAATCCAATATGGATGGTGTTACGAGATAGATGGGAGGTGTTGAATGGAGCTGAAGGATGGGACTAATAACAACAACTAATAACAACAAGATAACTAATGTAAAGCATACTGTGTCCATAATAAGTATATAGGTTATAGGTTTAGAGCTTTTGTGAAAGAGCACAGTTAGAAAAATATGGCATATAGAAGCAAACCAGATGGACATCATGAAAATGATTGGGGGAAGTTCAGGAGTAAAAACAAACAAATATAATTATTGTAGAATTTGACTGTGTCCATAAAATGTAAATAGTATGTATGGGCTGGAAGTAGAGGCCTAAGCGTTGTTGTTCACTAGTTTACTCCAATTGGGGAAGGGGTGGTGGGGTTGGAAAGTAATGAAGGGAAATATAATTTAAAAAAGGATATGTGTGTGTGTATGGATGTATGTATATATGTATGTATGTAAATAGATATGTGTGTGTGTGTGTGTGTGTGTGTGTGTGTGTGTGTGTGTATATGTATGTATGTAAATAGATATGTGTGTGTGTGTGTGTGTGTGTGTGTGTGTGTGTGTGTGTGTGTGTGTGTATATGTATATACAGTGGGGAGAACAAGTATTTGATACACTGCCGATTTTGCAGGTTTTCCTACTTACAAAGCATGTAGAGGTCTGTAATTTTTGTCATAGGTACACTTCAACTGTGAGAGACGGAATCTAAAACAAAAATCCAGAAAATCACATTGTATGATTTTTAAGTAATTAATTTGCATTTTATTGCAAATTTTTTAGGGGGTAGATCAGCTTTAATATTTGCGAGAAGAAAAACATATGGGGGATTGGAATTGATGCAGACAATTACATTGATGGAAGTTACAATCTATCTGAAATATTAAAGCTGATCTACCCCCTAAAAAATAAAAAGGGTCTGAATACTTATGTAAATAAGGTATTTCTGTTTTTTTGTTTTTATACATTTTCAAAAATGTCCAAACTTCTTTTTTCTTTGTCATTATGGGGTATTGTATGTAGATTGAGGATATATATATATATATATTTTTATTCATTTTAGAATAAGGCTGTAACATAACAAAATGTGGAAAAAGGGAAGGGGTCTGAATACTTTTCAAAGGCACTTAGATGTCATGCATACAAAAATACTAGTAATGTTAGTTTACAACACTGGCTTGTATCTTGTCTTGTACTTATAAAAAGTGTCTTGTTTCAAAGAAATAGACACCTCAAACACTGAGGCAATCAGTGTGTTTTGTTTTTGCCTCTCTAGGACAGGGCTCATAGAATTGGTCAGAAGAAACCTGTGCGAGTGTTCCGCCTCATCACTGATAATACAGTCGAAGAGAGGATTGTAGAGAGAGCTGAGATGAAGTTGAGGCTAGACTCCATTGTTATACAACAAGGTATTCAGCATGGTTTTAATTTGCGACTTCGTGGTTTGTCATTACATGGCTTTCAAATCCATATAGATCATATTACATTACTAGAGGGGTTATGTCATAAACCCTCAAAGTTCCATAATGGTGCGAAAATGGCAGCCATCTTGGTCAGGGAGAAATTCAAAACCAGTCTAATTGGAATTAATGGCAGTAGAGGCATAGGTGATGCATTTCCTGCTTTTACTTACACAGGAAAATAAAAGTAAGGCATGTGATGTATCAGAAATTATGTAATGGAATTATAGTCAACCTAAAATATTGTCATATAATAAATACAGTATGGCTTTTATACACATTTTCTGAACAAACAGCATCTAAAATATATGTAAACAGACCATAAATGTCTCAGATTTTGTTTTCTTGGAAAGCTGGGTGCTATTATATGATACAATAGCAGTACTTGTTGCATTTATAACTTGTCCAAGTCCTATTCAGTGCCTTGGGTGTGAGAAAAGAGCTTTACAAATTAAATTAATTATTAATTATTAATTATTATTATTATTATTATTATTCTGAGCCAGTGTATGGCTGTGGATTGACTGCATTGTTTGAATGGAATGTTGGCATAGTGGCAGTTAATTCCTCTTAAACTGCCTGGCTAGCTAGCTAACACACATACAGTGCAGATTCATTCTTCACATTCATTGTTTTTACACAATATCTTATCACAGCACTGGCAAACTGTGGTTGACCAACTCCCTGACCAACATGACTGACCTTTGGACCATCATAAGAAGGTTCATGTCCATTCTAGCATTCTAATTCCTAATTCTATGTTCAAATCCCTTAAATGTGGCCTTACCTTTGTTTAAAAAAAAATTGGTCTGACTCATAGCAGACAGTAAATCAGACTTGAATTTGTAATGTGGCCCATATCATTAAAGTGTTGTTTAGCAATGGTCCTTGGGACAGGCAAGACAGACCTTGGTTAGGCTTGAGACAAAATTAGACCACACATATATGCTGTACATGCATGCATGTATACAGATACTTTAGTAGTTTATAGAATGATCTAGACCCTGAGACATGGCTGTAAGTGCCTGCTGCAGGGTCTTGTACATTCAGTCCCACACCCCAACTACTTCTCACATCTTTTCAACTTTCCAGGGAGGCTGATGGAGCAGTCCAACAAGCTGGGGAAAGATGAGATGCTGCAGATGATCAGGCATGGGGCCACTCACGTCTTCGCCTCCAAAGACAATGAGCTCACGGACGAAGACATCAACACCATCTTAGAGAGGGGGGCAAAGAAGGTGAGTGAGCACCATGTGAAGGATCAGTACACAGTGTTTGGTTGACAGACTGGCTGCTTGGTTCTCTGTGCTCACCTGTCCTTTTGACAGTGGTGGAAAAAGTACCCAATTGTCATACTTGAGTAAAAGTAAAGATACCTTAATAGAAAATGACTCAAGTGAAAGTCACCCAGTAAAATACAAAACATTTTTGGTTTAAAAATACTTAAGTATCAAAAGTAAATGTAATTGCGAAAATATACTTAAGTATCAAAAGCAAAAGTATAAATCATTTCACATTCCTTATTTTAAGCAAACCAGACGGCACGATTTTCTTGTTTTTTAAATTTACGGATAGCCAGGGGTACACTCCAACACTCAGACATAATTTACAAACTAAGCATTTGTGTTTAGGGAGTCCACCAGATCAGAGGTAGTAGGGATGACCAGGGATGTTCTCTTGATAAGTGCATGAATTGGACCATTTTCCTGTCTTGCTAAGCATTCGAAATGTAACGAGTACTTTTGGGTGTCAGGGAAAATGTATGGGAAAATAAGTACATTATTTCCTTTAGGAATGTAGTGGAGTAAAAGTACCGTAGTCAAATATATGTATGTATGTATGTATGTATGTATGTATATATACACATACATATATACAGTGGGGAGAACAAGTATTTGATACACTGCCGATTTTGCAGGTTTTCCTACTTACAAAGCATGTAGAGGTCTGTAATTTTTATCATAGGTACACTTCAACTGTGAGAGACAAAATCACATTGTATGATTTTTAAGTAATTAATTTGCATTTTATTGCATGACATAAGTATTTGATATATCAGAAAAGCAGAACTTAATATTTGGTACAGAAACCTTTATTATGTTTCCTGTAGGTCTTGACCAGGTTTGCACACACTGCAGCAGGGATTTTTACCCACTCCTCCATACAGACCTTCTCCAGATCCTTCAGGTTTCGGGGCTGTTGCTGGGCAATACGGACTTTCAGCTCCCTCCAAAGATTTTCTATTGGGTTCAGGTCTGGAGACTGGCTAGGCCACTCCAGGACCTTGAGATGCTTCTTACGGAGCCACTTCTTAGTTGCTCTGGCTGTGTGTTTCGGGTCGTTGTCATGCTGGAAGACCCAGCCACGACCCATCTTCAATGCTCTTACTGAGGGAAGGAGGTTGTTGGCCAAGATCTCGCAATACATGGCCCCATCCATCCTCCCCTCAATACAGTGCAGTCGTCCTGTCCCCTTTGCAGAAAAGCATCCCCAAAGAATGATGTTTCCACCTCCATGCTTCACGGTTGGGATGGTGTTCTTGGGGTTGTACTCATCCTTCTTCTTCCTCAAAAAAGCTATATTTTTGTCTCATCAGACCACATGACCTTCTCCCATTCCTCCTCTGGATCATCCAGATGGTCATTGGCAAACTTCAGACGGGCCTGGACATGCGCTGGCTTGAGCAGGGGGACCTTGCGTGCGCTGCAGGATTTTAATCCATGACGGCGTAGTGTGTTACTAATGGTTTTCTTTGAGACTGTGGTCCCAGCTCTCTTCAGGTCATTGACCAGGTCCTGCCGTGTAGTTCTGGGCTGATCCCTCACCTTCCTCATGATCATTGATGCCCCACGAGGTGAGATCTTGCATGGAGCCCCAGACCGAGGGTGATTGACCGTCATCTTGAACTTCTTCCATTTTCTAATAATTGCGCCAACAGTTGTTGCCTTCTCACCAAGCTGCTTGCCTATTGTCCTGTAGCCCATCCCTACAATTTTATCCCTGATGTCCTTACACAGCTCTCTGGTCTTGGCCATTGTGGAGAGGTTGGAGTCTGTTTGATTGAGTGTGTGGATAGGTGTCTTTTATACAGGTAACGAGTTCAAACAGGTGCAGTTAATACAGGTAATGAGTGGAGAACAGGAGGGCTTCTTAAAGAAAAACTAACAGGTCTGTGAGAGCCGGAATTCTTACTGGTTGGTAGGTGATAAAATACTTATGTCATGCTATAAAATGCAAATTAATTACTTAAAAATCATACAATGTGATTTTCTGGATTTTTGTTTTAGATTCTGTCTCTCACAGTTGAAGTGTACCTATGATAAAAATTACAGACCTCTACATGCTTTGTATGTAGGAAAATCTGCAAAATCGGCAGTGTATCAAATACTTGCTCTCCCCACTGTGTGTGTGTGTGTATGTGTATATATATATATATATATATATATATATATATATATATATATATATATATATATATATATATATATATATATATATATATATATATATATATAGTAAAGTACAGATACCCAAAAAAACTACTTAAGTAGTACTTTTACTTAAGTACTTTACACCACTGCCTTTTGACTTATCCTAGACGGCTGAGATGAACGAGCGCATGGAGGGTCTGGGAGAGAGCTCCCTCAGGAACTTCACTGTGGATACCGGAGGAGCAGAGACCAGCCTCTACAATTTTGAAGGGGAGGACTACAGAGAGAAGCAAAAGGTATCAAATTACTACATGCTTTGTCATAGCATCAAAGAGCATTTTGCATTGACATTTTATTCATTTAGCAGACTATCTTATCTAGAGCGACTTACAGTAGTGAGTGCATACTTTTTCGTTCTGGTCCACCGTGGGAATCGAACCCACAACCCTGGCATTGCAAGCGCCATGCTCAACCAACTGAGCAGCTTGATATGGTACTGTACTTTGATTAGCTAGTTCCCTTGTTGAATTTCATCTTAGTTATTGAACTTTGTGAATACTGTGTGATAGAGGTAGAGATGACATACAGAGTATACTATTCATAGATGCTTATGAAATAAACTTAATGAAACCACAGTAACCATGAAATGAGGTGTACATCATATACCGTATACTGAGTTGATTCACCTTGTGAGGGATGGACTGGTCTTTTTTTGTAGCTGAGTATGATGGAATGGATCGAGCCTCCTAAAAGAGAAAGGAAAGCCAACTATGCGGTGGATGCCTACTTCAGAGAGGCCCTGCGTGTCAGTGAACCTCGAGCCCCCAAGGTAACGCCCACTCACAGATCAATCACACAGAAACTTCAGGGGCTGCCACCTTGCTTTGCATCCCTGCTTATAAATTACATGCTTATTCAAGTGCTGTCCCCATCAAGGTTATTATACTAAACGAAAACTGAAACTAAAATAAAAACAAAATTGGAAAAACAATTTAGTAAACTGAAATAAAAATTTAACGAAAAACATTTGAAAAACTAAAACTATACTGAAGCTATTATATTTGACTACAAAACCAAAAATTGTTTATAATAATAACATCAAATTATGTTTAGTTTTTTTCTTCTAAACTTTGGACAAAAATGGGTCTTTCAAGCTTTATCTTCTAATGGGGTTTTCAAGCTTCTGAATCTAGCGGGTATATGCTGCTAGTCGATGCCGATGTTTCAAATAGGCCTAGCTTGTGCATCACTATCATGAACTATCACTAGCTAACAGGGAAGAAATCCAAAGGCGAGCACGGAGTATGACTGGGTCAAGCTAGAACTTCTTGTGAAGTTGCTGGAGCCGTTTACAACCTTCACCGACCAACTTCAAACTGACAGCCACTTGCTGTCTGATGTGGTGCCGTGCCTTCTCAACCTTAAGGCACACTTGCAGTTAACTACTGTTACAAAACAGTTGGCACAGGTCCTCCTGAAGTCACTGTGTGAGCGCTTCGCATGCATACTGAATCCTCTGGCAACCAACTTCGATCCAACCCCTGCAGCAGCTTGCCTGATGGACCGAAGTGTCTCTCTGGCACTTCGCTCCACAGAGATGGAGCCACTGATGAGTGAAGCAGAGTCTTTTGTACTTCAGCAAATCAGAGAGTACAGCCGTGGGGCAGGAGTACCCCATGAAGGTGCAAGCAAGTTAAATCCAGCAAGCATCTCAACCACAGTGCTTTCAGAAATATAGCTTCCTCGCATCAAGGATTGTGTCAGAGGTCACTGTCCAGCCGGAGAGTCAACCTGGCTGGGCATTAAGTGCCCCGTGTGAGCTGCGGAAATACCTGGAAGAAGTGAAGGGGGGCATGTTTACAGAGTCACCTCTCCAGTTCTGGCAGGCAAAGATGGCTGTTTATCCAAAGCTGTACCCTGTGACACTGGATCTGGTTTCTGCCCTGCATCCCAAGTGTTCGTGGAGAGAATATTCTCTGTCTGTGGAAGAGTTGCTAGTCAGTAGTCAACCATTTGTAGGGTTGCAAAGTAACTACCATAAATTTGGTAACGTTCAAACTTTGGTAACTTCCAAACTGGTGGCAGTTGTGAAAAAAAGTCAATACTTGGAAGAGTTGCGGAGTTAATTTAAAATAATTCCTTTGTTGATTAGATACTTTCAACATTAATTAGGCTATTTTCTCTTTAACCATATGGTCTATCCACTAGAAACTCATGGGCAATATGGACACAGATATAATAAATTAATATGAATACATTTTTTAATAAGTATTTAAAGTATAAATTATCTAAATTACATTAGATTGCCATAGATTACCTGTTCATTACCAAAATTATAGAAGATACTGGTAACTTTGGTATATTACCGGTAGCTTTGCAACCCTAATCATTCCTCTTGTTTCCCACATCTTCCAAATAATGATGGTCAAGAAGTCAGAATGATGTCCATGTAAGGGGTGTACATGTTAATCTTGCTCACAAGAACATGATTAATAATGATGAATGTATTTCAGGCCCCACGTCCCCCCAAACAGCCTAACATCCAGGACTTCCAGTTCTTTCCCCCTCGCCTGTTTGAGCTGCTAGAGATGGAGATCCTTTTCTACAGGAAGACAATAGGCTACAAGGTAAGACAGCTGTAGTTAAGTTCATTGTCTGATGGATAAATAAAGTGTGCCCATGTTGACATAGGTAGCTTTAAGCTTAGCCATTTATAGTCATGTATTCTTGTTTCCTGCACATGGTAGTGTGACTTGAATGTCCCTTCTGACTGGTTCTACTTTACTGAAACAATTTACAAAGTTGAATATTTAAAAACAATATTTTGGAATCTGTTAGCTTGGGCTTTCACAGAGCCAACATATTACTTGTGGGATGGGGAATAGAGCCCATAGAAGTGTGTCTCAACTCTGACATTTGTTAGCAGCATCCCAAGTGCTTAACTGTGCCAAGGCACTCGCTGCCAAGGCAGACTGCTGAAGTGAGACAGATTGGAGCTTTTACTCCTCCATGGTGCCAGAACCACAGAACACACACACACACACACACACACACATTCCCCCTATGCCACCTGATCCCAGGGTACATCTGCTCAGTTCTGCCCAGTTAGCCTGGTTCCCCAACAGGCCTGTCTATCGCTTCACCCAGCCTTAGGGGTCTCTCGCCCAGCCTCATAGCGAGAGACAGAGCCGTTCGGTGTTATGTCTCATCAGAGCTGTCTCTAATATGAGCTATGTCTGTCCTCTCCTTTGTGCTGCTGCAGGTGCCCAGGAGCCCTGACATTCCCAACTCTGCTCAGGTGCAGAAGGAGGAGCAGAGGAAGATCGACGAGGCGGGGCCCCTCAGTCCTGAGGAGACTGAGGAGAAGGAGAAGCTTCTTACACAGGTACTGGAGGGCGCTAGGCTAGACACAACTGTCTAGATTCCTAAATTATTTGAGTAAGATCCCTGTAGTGTTTGTCACAAAAGTGCCACATTATTAGACATTCTAAAGCTTGTAGTGCTGTGTTTATAGTGAATGTTGTTACTCAGGGGTTCACAAGTTGGAACAAGCGAGATTTCAATCAGTTCATTAAAGCCAATGAGAAATATGGCCGTGATGACATCGACAACATCGCTCGGGAAGTCGAGGGGAAAAACCCTGAAGAAGTCATTGAATATTCTGGTAAGATACCGGAGGTCCTCATCATCGTCATAATCATCCTCATCTATTATTCCATTACAGTTGTTTACTAGAGACCCTTTCTAGTATCTGTTTCAAATAACCATGGTTATTACAGTTTATTATTACTTTTTATATGCTCCACACTAGTCTTTTCATACTCTTTTTTTATTTTCAAGCCATTTTCTGGGAGCGGTGCAATGAACTCCAGGATATTGAGAAAATCATGGCCCAGATCGAGCGTGGTGAGGCCCGCATCCAGAGGAGGATCAGCATTAAGAAGGCACTGGATGCTAAGGTGAACTACTTTACAGAAGTTGTTTTGATTTTCTAAATAAGTGCTCAAGTGTGTTGGATAGTGGCTGATAAGTATTTTTGTATTGATCTTTAAAATGCAATGATTGCCTCTCTAAAACATATTTTCCCTTTTAAGCACTGTGGAAATTACATATTTGAATTTGCTAGTAGCAACCTTTATTTTGAGTATGCTCCAAGATAAATTATTATTTTCAAATTGACTAAATGGAAAATGTTGTTTTTGATTCATTTCAGATTGCGAGATACAAGGCCCCATTCCACCAGTTGAGGATTCAGTATGGCACCAATAAAGGGAAGAACTACACGGAGGAGGAGGACAGGTTCCTGATCTGTATGCTCCACAAGATGGGCTTTGACAAGGAGAATGTTTATGAGGAACTCCGACAGTGTGTCCGGAACGCCCCCCAGTTCAGATTTGACTGGTTCATCAAGTCCCGAACTGCCATGGTATAGTATGCCCTGAACAGTTTGACTATGTTATAGCTGTTAGAAGGTTTAGGTGAGCAAACATGGGGACACTTATTTGATATGACACCTGGACTGCCTCTGGGATAGTCAATAAACCCAGTTACAGTGTCTTAGTGTCCCTACTTCTTTACTTTCTCTGGATCCATCATAAAAACGTGTTTTATTACTTTTATTATAGACTATAGTACATTTCTAGTGAATTCAGAGACCATCTTGTTAGCTTTCCTCTCACATTTATAGTAGGTATGGCGGAATATAGAATTGAATTTGTTTCAATGTGTTCCTCCTTTACAAGTTGAGATGGATGAGAATTCATGGGACGAAAGGCTATCCTATAGATTCAGTTTCATGCATCACCAGTATACAGACACACTTACCTCTCTGGGGTTATATTCCATCACTTTGTGCATTTGACAAAGTGGTATGTAACATGAACGGTTTTGGTTATTGAAATGTCAATATTATGAACAAAAACTGTAATAACCACAAGAGGAGCATATTGAATGAATATAAAAAATTTTTTTTGCTTCAAACAGACTGGCTAACATAGATAGAACAGCAGACATCCATTGTACTATTGTTTTCTTGTTCTCTGCTAACAGCTGTCTCTTGTTCCCCCAGGAACTCCAGCGACGCTGTAACACTCTCATCTCTCTCATTGAAAAAGAAAATATGGAGATTGAGGAAAAGGAGCGTGCTGAAAAAAAGAAAAGGACCCCAAAAAGCCAGACGGTAATTGATCTTACGAATTATATATTTTGTGGGAAGAAATAGGCATATTGGTTGACCATCTTGAGAATTCTGAACCATGTTACCATGACAAATGGATCAATACTCATGTGTTAGAATATTCATATTTCATACGTACATTGTAACATTTACACATAGACATGCAATTGATTTGATTCTAATGTCATTTTTATTCTAAGACTCACAAAAGGAAGGCAGATGCATCATCAGAAGCCACAGGACGCAAAGAGAAGAAAGCGAGAGCCTGAAGATGTCATGTAATTAATGTAGCTCCCACCAGGCCCAATCCTAACTTGAAAGATAAGTAATTTGATCATTTGATTTACACACACAGTTCTCAAGTTAGGATTTGGCCCATCAACAACAAACAGCATTAATCACCCACACAAAAAATACAAACACAACCTTCAATAGCTGTAGTAGTTTCTGTGGAAGTGAGTTGCTTCTCATTTTTAAGACATTTTGTATTACTATTTTTTGCAATTATTTGATGCCCTTTGAAACTCAACATGCTATATGTATCTACGGATGTGTTTTGATTGTTGTTTCATGTCTTGTGTAGTTGGCATGGTGGTGAAATAACAACCTTTGTATGTTTGTTTTTCCTCCATTTTGTGCATGGCTGTTTTTGAAGCTATGTGTTTGACACATTGTTATTATGTTACATCAAGAGGTTCCCTGTATGCACCTTATATAACCCATTGCTTTGCACATATCCTAAGCTCTTTTTATATTGAGTTTAATTTCATTGATCCTTTTAAGCTATTTTAAGTGTTGGTATTTGAACAAAAAGTTACTGTTGTATTTAGCTTTTCCTGTTAATTTTTTTAAATGTATGAGTTCATTAAACAAAATCCAACCTTAGTTATACAGTACTTGACCTTTGTTGCGAGTAACTTTTATGTCACACAAAATCCTCATATACATTATATTAAACTCATCAAACTAAAGTAAAGAAAGCTGTGAACCCAACAGTAGCAGATAGTATTACATAAGATAAGGACCATGAGTATTAGGCACTAACTACTATATACAAAAGTATGTGGACACCCCTTCAAATGACTGGATTCGGCTATTTCAGCTGCAGCAGTTGCTGACAGGTGTATAAAATTGAGCACACAGTCATGCAATCTCCATAGACAAACATTGGCAGTAGAATGGCCTTACCAAAGAGCTCAGTGACTTTTTCAACGTGGCAACGTCATAGGATGCCACCTTTCCAACAAGACAGTTCGTCAAATTTCTGCACTGCTAGAGCTGCCCCAGTCAACTGTAAGTGCTGTTATTGTGAAGTGGAAACAGCTAGGCACAACAACGGCTCAGCCGCAAAGTTGTAGGCCTCACAAGCTCACAGAACGGGACCGCCGAGTGCTGAAGCATAAAAATCGTCAGTCCTCGGTTGCAACACAACACTCACTACCAAGTTCCAAACTGCCTCTGGATGCAACATCAGCACAAGAACTGTTCATCGGGAGCTTCATGAAATGGGTTTCCATGGCCGAGCAGCCACACACAAGCCAAGTGTCGGCTGGAGTGGTGTAAAGCTCGCCGCCATTGGACGCGTTCTTTGGAGGGATGAATCCCGCTTCACCATCTGGCGAATCTGGGTTTGGCGGATACCAGGAGAACGCTACCTGTCCCAATGCATAGTGCCAACTGTAAAGTTTGGTGGAGGAGGAATAATGGTCTGGGGTTGTTTTTCATGGTTCGGGCTAGGCCCCTTAGTTCCAGTGAAGGGAAATCTCAATGCTACAGCATAAAATGAAATTCTAGACCATTCTGTGCTTCCAACTTTGTGGCAACAGTTTGGGGAAGGCCCTTTCCTGTTTCAGCATGACAATGCCCCTGTGCACAAAGCGAGGTCCATACAGAAATGGTTTGTCGAGATCGGTGTGGAAGACCTTGACTGGCCTGCACAGAGCCCTGACCTTAACTCCATCGAACACCTTTGGGATTAATTGGAATGCAGACTGCGAGCCAGGCCTAATCGCCCAACATCAGTGCCCGACCTCACTAATGCTCTTGTGGCTGAATGGAAGCAAGACCCCGCAGCAATGTTCCAACATCTAGTGGAAAGCCTTCCCAGAAGAGTGGAGCCTGTTATAGCAGCAAAGGGGGGACCAACTCCATATTAATGCCCATGATTATGGAATGAGATATTCGACGAGCAGGTGTCCACATACTTTTGGTCATGCGGTATATATTGTATTGATACTGACTGCTACAACATGTTGGACCCCCAATGTGTGTGGTTCCCCTTTTACAAATTATAGAGCAGTAATAAGCTTCACTTAGCAATGATGAATCTAAGCTGCTCACATATTATTGGGAGGGAACTCTTCGTGCCTTCATGGGGGATGAAGTTACACTATATGTCCACATGGGGGCATTTTAACGCTGTCCTAGAATAAGAGGCAGCGTCACCAGTGTTGAAGCAGGTGACAAGTCTGAGAATATACTATAGTATATTCATCATGCCATTTATAACCTGTTAAGAAACCAAAGATATTGCAAACCACCCTTCAGTATGTGGATATTTGCCTTGAAACCAACTCAACTTGTTTTTTATTATGTTTTCAAAAAGCTGTAATTCAAATCACACATACTTTACCTTTAATCCAACTGAAATAGAATTGCTGCTTCAGAGAGTGTGTAAACTGTGAGACTGTGTTAGCATGATCTGATGGAGACTGTGATATTAGGCCCTGCAATTTATACTGTAACTAACACTTACAAACAACTGTAGCTCTGTAGCTCAGCTGGTAGAGCATGGCGCTTGTAACGCCAAGGTAGTGGGTTCGATCCCCGGGACCACCCATACACAAAGAATGTATGCACGCATGACTGTAAGTCGCTTTGGATAAAAGCGTCTGCTAAATGGCATATTTAATTTATTTTATATTTAGAAAAACTAAGTGAATCTCGGGAGCATGCAGATCTTTAAGGTGTTTTCTGCCTTAGCTTTAAAAGTCTGTGGAGCTACATGCAGCCTAGTTCTAATTAACACATACAGTATCTCAATCAAATTCAATCAATCAAATTGTATTTATAAAGCCCTTTTTACATCAGCAGATGTCACAAAGTGCTATACAGAAACCCAGCCCAAAAACCCAAACAGCAAGCAATGCAGATGTAGATGCATGGTGGCTAGGAAAAACTCCCTAGAAAGGCAGAAACCTAGGAAGAAACCTCTTCTGGCTGTGCCGGGTGGAGATTATAACAGTACATGGCCATTAAGGCCAGATTTTTCTCCAAGATGTTCAAACGTTCATAGATGACCAGCAGGGTCAAATAATAATCACAGTGGTTGTAGATGTTGCAACAGGTCAGTACATCAGGAGTAAATGTCACTTGGCTTTTCATAGCCGGGCATTTAGAGGTTGAAATAGCAGGTGCAGTGGAGAGAGAGAGTTGAAAACAGCAGGTCTGGGACAATGTAGCACGTCCGGTAAACAGGTCAGGGTTCCATAGCCGCAGGCAGAAGAGTGGAAACTGGAGCAGCAGCACGACCAGGTGGAGTGGACAGCAAGGAGTCATCAGGCCAGGTAGTCCTGAGGCATGGTCCTAGGGCTCAGGTCCTCAGGGATGGGAGGGAGAGAGAGAATTAGAGGGGGCATACTTAAATTCACACAGGACACCGGATAAGACAGGAGAATAACACCAGATATAACAGACTGACCCTAGACCCCTGGCACATAGACTATTGCAGCACAGATACTGGAGGCTGGGGGGGGGGGGGGGGGGGGGTCGGGAGACACTGTGGCCCCGTCCGACGATAACCCTTGACAGTGCCAACCAGGCAGGATATAACCACCCACTTTGCCAAAGCACAGCCCCCACACCACCAGAGGGATATCAACAGACCACCAACCTACTACCCTGAGACAAGGCTGAGTATAGCCCACGAAGATCTCCTCCACTGCACGAGCCAGAGGGAGCGACAAACCGGATCTGTGATGATCACTCAGGTGTGATAAATGTTAACAACATTACTTCCTTCCTAATGCATGGATTATCTAATTATGAGTTAATAGGGATGTTCTCATTTGTCGCTTTTCAAATAGTCCTTTTTTTTTTAATGATGCATCTTGCACTAATTGGTGTGAATCACTAGGAGCTTTAGTTTGTGTCACTTAGTTGTATACACAATTTAAATTGTGACTGGGGACAACAGTAACCATATTTATCAGACTAAACTACATACGATGCATAATGCATAATTAAAATATTGTTAGATGTATTATGTTTGTGTACATTGTCAATCAGGAACATCTTATACTGTGGGCTACTGCATCATCTGAAAGACAACATTGTGTGATACACTGACACTGTCAAATAGTTTTTTCTTTGTGCTGATGAATATGATTCCCTTACTTTAAGAGTGAGAGTCATTCCATTGTCCTCCTAGAGAATATCCCAAGGTGAACTGTTGTCTTATAAATGCTCAGTGAGAAGAAGGGAGCCATGATGCATGACAGCCCTCATAAAACTCTGGTCCCAAGTCGTAGAGCCAACCTATCTATAATTAAGAAATAATGAGGCCCTCAGAGATTGCCATCAATTGATTAGAGGAAAGAAAGGAGGAAAAACTAAAAGAAATGAAAGCAAAAACAGCCTCTCACAGGTTTCCCTCCATTCAATGTGTTTGCCTTTGATTTTCAAGTGATCTCAGTCCCAGGTGAGACAGGGCCGATGAAACACGACTTAAGACAAGTTAGAAAGGTGATGTTTTCAAGTTTACTTGTTTCTTGTCCCTGTAGATGGTACACAGAGATAATTCTCAGTCGCAAAGATAATTTGTCTGTTGACATTAACACAAAATTGACTCTGTAATAGAGTTTGTAATCGATTTCTCCAAAGATAGTCTTAGTTTATTTCATTTAATTTCTATCTTCTCCTTGTGATATTGCTGGAAACTATGGTGTATCAGTGTGAACTTTCATCTGAAATTACTCAATAGAAAGTAAATTGTGTGAAATGGCCAAATTTGAATTGGAGTTGCCTTTTGGTGGTTTTAGAACAATTTAAATTATGGGTGAAGAGATTACATCTCTCATTGTACCTGTACCAACTGTTTAGATACATTTCTTGATTCACAACACTGATGTGAAAAATCCATATGTCCTTGTAATTGTATTTTTAAATCATCACTGTATGTCAAATAAAGCAATGTGTGTTATTTAATGAAAATAACTCCGAAATTTCCCTGAGAATCCTTTGGCCCTTGAAATGCTCAGTCTGATCGTGT